TGATCGTCTCTTCAGTGCACGGTCAAACTGTTTTTGCTCGTAAGAATTTTCGCAGCTGTTATTTTGAGAGCACGAGTTTGCTCCTCTTATACAAATCATCCTTTTTCAGGCGAACGGTAACGGTGCGCACACGCAAGTGATTCACTGAGTCGTCCTTGCTTCATCCTCAGTTTGCAGACCAAAATTACTTATCAACTAATTCACTTAGTGGTTTGCTCTTTGTAGCTTTGTCATTTTTGTAGGAGGTAGGCCCGAACAGATTTCTATGATTTCCTTGATCTCTTCGTAAGAAATGTCAGTAAGAAAATGAATGGCTGACTGAGATATTGAAAAAACTTGTGGCTAATCCTGGAGACGTTTGTTCTATAACTGTAGTAAGTTATTATAAACTATAGAATACGAGTAGGCTTTCTTCTGTCCTCCACTTGTCAAATATTCCACTTGTCCTTTATTGTTAAATATTGTTCTAGACTGTATGCGTGAAAAGTGCTCTACTGATCCAGATTTGTAGTAAAGAGAGAGTTGAAAATAAAAATTGAGTCCTGAATTTTAACAGAAAGAGATTTGACTGTACGGTGCTGTCCGTAGCTACAGTAGATGCATTTGATTCACACTATTATACGTTGAAGCTAAACATAAGCAGAAAGAGTTGTCGTCGGCAGCAGAAAATTGTCCTAACGACTTGACCGATCTCTTTTCTTGATTTAAAGGAAGCGATTACGATAAAGAGGGAGCGCATCGGGGAAGCATATGCACCACACGAAGCAGTTACTTGGCTGCCAGGAAGCGAGGTGTGGCGCTTCGAAAGGTGCGCTGGTTGCTGAGCAGGACTTCGAAAGCACTCCGCCCCCAAAGCCCACCAGTTTACTTGTTGATTTGGACGAGCTGCGTGGCCAGCAGCGGCGCAAATGGAGCATCTCGATTAAAGCGTGGTTTGGCATGGTGCCATCAAACGCGTTGCGGTGAACTCGTTCATAACTCCACTTTCTGAGCTGATGAGTGAAAACCAACGGCCAAAAAAGGGGGTCCCGTTTTGCGTTTTCTTGACGGATTTTTCTGCTTTTTTCGCCACTGGCGTACCATTGAGCACCACCACGTCACATAGAACCCTTCTTCAATTTTGCGTAATCGCTGCCTTTAAATAAGGCTTTCTGTTCTTCTCTGAAATCGTGAGCTTTTAGAATATACATTCGCTGAAAAATTTCTCAAAACAAATTTACTCGTATTGCCAATACATAAGCCCTAGCTAACGTCACCTAAAAACACCTCCGCTCGTGCAGTGTACTTGCGTACACCTAGAGACTACCGTAACTTTGCCATAGGGTAATTCGATGCCCTGATTACGAAAATGACATTCATTTTTAGCGGTGGCGCCATCTGGCGCCAGTTGGCGTCACCTTGTCACGACCCTTGTTTTCACCAAAATCGGTGTAAACTTCTGTATAGGGTTATTTGGTGCCCTGATTACGAATATGACATTCGTTTTTGGCATTAGCGTTGTTCATCGCATATTTCCCGATCTATCCAGTGGGAGGGCGCAGACGAGCAGAAAATAGGCGTTCAAATGATGTTAGCGCAAAGAATGAATACAATAGTAATCAGGACACCAAATAACCCCTGTACGGAAGTTTACACCAAATTTGGTGAAAACTAGGAACGTGACAAGGTGGCGCCAACGCTAAAAATGAATGTCATTTTCGTAATCAGGACATCTACAGCCATCCAAAGTTACGGTAGTCTGTAGCTGTATGCAAGTACACTGCACGAGCGGAGGTGTTTTTACGTGAATTTGGCTTGGGCTTTTCTACCGAAAATTGGGGTACTCGCCTCAAAATCCGACCATCTGAAGGGAATCCTGTGCCTGGTGCGTCCAGAGATTTTCCGAGGCCTGCTGTCTCCTTTGGCCATTGCCTCAGCTTCTCTGGCCAATGCCCACAATTTCATAGTATTATGAAAGCACATAATGTATGTATTGGGGAATAGAATATAGAGTGATCACCTGTATCACCTGTCGTCCCGTTGATCATCGAATTGCTCGAGCGGGCGCCAGCAACGTCTCCATTCGTCCCTGTCGCGTGCAAGAGTTGTCCAGTGGACCCTCCTCGCTCGAGGGACACGATGTCCTTCATTCCTTTCGTTCAGAGCTTTCGTGAAGAAGTCTGACCATCGGGCCGGCGGTCGTCCAGGTGTTCGTTTGACGTCCCGAGGGATCCAGTCGGTAACCGCTCTGGTCCAACGGTCATCGCAAAATCGCATGACGTGTCCGGCCCACCTTATCTTCGATTCCTTGGCGAAAACGGCAGCGTCCCTGATCTTCGATCGTTGGCGTAGTTCGGCACTCCGGATTCCCCTCTTAACAGAGCAATAGAGTGATTCATTTAATTCCCCAGTACCTCAATTGCGGACCATCGCAGGTTGTTTTAATTTAGTGGTAGTGAACATTGGTGAATTAATCATTTATTAACTACAAACTAAATCAACATACAAAATAGATGAGACAAAGAGAATCGTATCAGTATTTGCATTACCTTTGTGTCTTATTTGTCAAACGATATAGCAAGTGTCCTGGACCTCGTTGACTTGCATAGTCGCTTAAGTGCAGGCGAGTCC